GTGGAGGTTGCAGTGAGCCGAGATCATGCCACTGCTGCACCCCAAATTTTATCTCAAAAAAAAAAATCTGGTAGAGATTCTAACTGGAATTGCTTAGAATCTATATATCAAGTTGGGGGAAAGTAACATCTTACGATGTTAACTCCATTGATGAATATGTTTTTATCTGTAAGGTTACCCAGGTCTCTAGCGTGGCGCACACCATATCTTTTCATTTCTACAGAGCCTTGCATGTGGAAAGTCCTCACTAAATGTTGGGTGTGTGAATGATGAATATTATGCATTGGTAGTTTCCACTGTAGCCTTTCACAGAAGAGAAAGCTAAACCTCAGTGAAATTATGCGGATCGCATATGGTCATGTAGAGTGATTGCCAGTGCTAGAACCACGAGCCCGGTTTAGTGGATGTGATGCTTGGCGTGAGGGTTCCCTGCTCGCGCACCACTTGTTGGGTAGCAGCCCATGTTCTGCTAAGAAGCTGTGCCATGCTGCTTTACATTTTATTCACTTGAGCTTGCATGTGGGTGGCTTTGGGCCTGTGTGAGATTTGTGCGTATGTTAACAATAGAGATTTGGGAGAAGTCCATGCCTGTGTAGTGCCTGGCACAGAATGCCCACCAGGCACATTTTTGAATTAGGAAAAACTATACTTAGAAAAATTTTTTAAAAATGAAAAAAATTGATGCCTTTTGAGATAAAACTATACTAAAGGTTACATTTCTGTTATGATTTTAAATTCTGAATTTTTACTGTCTTTGACATGTACGCTTAACCTTAATGTTGGATACAAATATATTTAATAACTTGGTAAAATTCCATTGTACGGTATTACATGGAAAGGGCGTTGTATGCCTTTTCGTTCTTTTCTTCTTTTTTAAAAAACTTGTGCTCTGGGACCCTAAATACCATTTTATTCATTTAGCGGTGTCCAGGGCTTGCTTGTTGTGGTGATGAGATAATACTGTTTCTTGATCTTTTTTGAGATGGAGTTTCGCTCTTGTTGTCCAGGCTGGAGTGCAGTGGCGCCATCTCAGCTCACTGCAACCCCTGCCTCCCGGGTTCAAGTGATTCTCCTGCCTCAGCCTCCTGAGTAGCTGGGATTACAGGCATGCACACCACCACGCCTGGCTAATTTTTTTGTATTTTTAGTAGAGATGGGGTTTTGCCATGTTGGCCAGGCTGATCTCCAACTCCTGACCTCAAGTGATCTGCTCACCTCAGCCTCTCAAAGTGCTGGGATTACAGGTGTGAGCCACTGCGCGCGGCTGATTATGCTGCTGTTTAGATGAGACAATACTTTTTATTTTAAAGTTATTTTTATTTATTTATTTTTTTGAGATGGAGTCTGTCCATCTCAAAAAAAATAAATAAATAAAATACCATTTTATTCATTTAGCAGTGTCCAGGGCTTGCTTGTTGTGGTGATGAGATAATACTGTTTCTTGATCTTTTTTGAGATGGAGTTTCGCTCTTGTTGTCCAGGCTGGAGTGCAGTGGCGCCATCTCAGCTCACTGTAACCCCTGCCTCCCGGGTTCAAGTGATTCTCCTGCCTCAGCCTCCAGAGTAGCTAGGACTACAGGTGTGTGCCATCACTCCTGGCTAATTTTTGTAGTTTTAGTAGAGATGAGGTTTTGCCATATTGGCCATGCTGGTCTCGAACTCCTGACCTCAAGTGATCCTCCCTCCTGGGCCTCCCAAAGTGCTGGGATTACAGATGTGAGCCACTGTGCCCAACCGAGATGATACTTTTAAAAGTAAGGCCCTTTCTTTTTTTTTTTTTTGAGATGGAGTTTCGCTATTGTTACCCAGGCTGGAGTGCAATGGCACGATCTCGGCTCACCGCAACCTCTGCCTTCTGGGTTCAAGCAATTCTCCTGCCTCAGCCTCCTGAGTAGCTGGAACTACAGGCGCGCACCACCATGCCCAGCTAATTTTTATATTTTTAGTAGAGACGGGGTTTCACCTTGTGGACTAGGATGGTCTCGATCTCTTGACCTCGTGATCCACCCGCCTCGGCCTCCCAAAGTGCTGGGATTATAGGCGTGAGCCACCGCGCCCGGCCAGCCCTTTCTTTTTTAAAATTTTTAAAATTTATTTGATTTATTTATTTTTTTCTTTTTCTTTTCTTTTCTTTTTTTTTTTTTTTGAGACGGAGTCTCGCTCTGTCAGCCAGGCTGGAGTGCAGTGGCATGATCTCAGCTCACTGCAATCTCTGCCTCCCAGGTTCAAGTGATTCTCCTGCCTTAGCCTCCTGAGTAGCTGCAACTATAGGTGTGTGCCACCACACCTGGCTAATTTTTGTATTTTTAGTAGAAATGGGGTTTCACCATATTGGTCAGGCTGGTCTTGAACTCCTGACCTTGTGATCCTACTGCTGTGGCCTCCCAAAGTGCTGGGATTACAGGTAAGAGTCACCGTGCCCAGCCCATAAGGCCCTTTCTTAATTAGCTCTGGGCTGCACTCTCCTCTGTAGAATGAAGGCTTGGACTAGGTCAGTGTTTCTTAGCGTCTGTTAAACCCATGCCTACTTTTGAGAAACATGAGTTCTCCAATCTCCCCCACTCCGGATTTTGACATGCCTTTCAAGGGGTGTTATGCCTCCTGTTGGAAGATGATATGATTTTGGTTCCTTCCAAGGTGATTTTTGTGTGCACAAAAGGCTCTTTAGAGAATTGTTTTGGGGAAACGGCAGGAGAGAGTGGGGCGTTGTCCTTGAGAGTGTGAGCACTGGAGTTGGGGACTTGGGTTAAGTCATACATGTGTAATATACTCGTGAACCATTTAGATCCTGGGCAGACACAACACATGTTGGGAGGCTAGGGTTTCCTTTTTTAAAAATGTAATTTCATTCATACTCCTGTATGCATGTGTATTTTTGAAGTCTGTAGAGGATGGGGTTGCGATGTGTAGTCCATTGTGGGATCTGCCTATTCGGAACGGGTCAGCCCCTCCTCTACGTGCAGGGTGAGAGTCTTGCCATTAGAAATGTCACAGAGGTCTTGTAGCAATGTCATTTTAATCTTAGTGTCTCACCTGTGAGGGTTACTGCTATGATCTCTGCAGTCAGGCTTTGGTGACATGAAGGTCATGCAGTTTGGGGCTTCCTATTTAAGAAAAAGAAAACAAAATAAAAAATGCAAAATCAGGTCCGGGCGCGGTGGCTCACACGCTTATAATCCCAGCACTTTGGGAGGCCGAGGCGGGTGGATCACGAGGTCAAGAGATCGAGACCATCCTGGTCAACAAGGTGAAACCCCGTCTCTACTAAAAATACAAAAATTAGCTGGGCATGGTGGTGTGTGCCTGTAATCCCAGCTTGAACCCAGAAGGCGGAGGTTGTGGTGAGCCGAGATCGTGCCATTGCACTCCAGTCTGGGTAACAACAGTGAAACTCTGTCTCAAAAAGAAAAAAAAGTGCAAAATCAGATAGAGGGCCATGGAAGGGGCTTGAAATTGAAGCCCCATTAGCTCATGGTACAGCTAGCTGACTCTGGCTATGGGGACCATGGCCAAATGCCCTGAGGAAGTATGAGCTTGCTAATGGGGACAGCAGAGGTGTGTATCCAGACGTTTCCCTATTTGATACAGAGAGCTCATTTAATCTCACTATCCTTTAAAAAAATTAGACTTTTTATATGAGACTATAGTAGGTAGCTCCATGTGCATTGTCAGAAATAATACAGAGAGATCCTATATACCCTTTGCCCAATTTCCCCCAATGGTGTCGTCTTACAAAACCACAGTACGTTATCACAACCAGAATGTTGACTCTCCGACACTTGGAACTATGTGTTACTATCCTCATTTTTATTCACGATTAAACTGGGGTTCAGGCTTGCTCCAGGTTGCCCAGTGTAGAGCTGGGAGTTGAATATCACCCCTGACTTCCAGGCAGTGGGATTTCCATCATGACCATCTGCGGGCTGGGGGCTGCATGTACTGAATTGTTCATTTGTTTTTTTGTTCACTAATCCCTTCAACAAACATCTATTGAGGATCTCCTGTGAGCCAGATTTCTCCATGTGGGTCATCTAATTTAATTTTTCCACAGCTCTGGGAATCAGGTAATCATGTTTTCTTTCTATATCTGACAAAACTGGCTCAGGGAGGTGTGGCAGCTCTCCCGTTTATAGAGGAGTGTGGTGGTCTATTTGTGTAATCTTTCCTTTTTTTTTAAGGCACAGTGCTAGGCCCTTTACATCCTCAACTTTCTTAATCTAGATACAGATTTATAAAGCAAGTTCTTTTTCTTCTAATTCTTTTTTTCTTTTTTTTTGAGACAGAGTCTCACTCTGTCACCCAGGCTGCTGGAGTGTAGTGGCGTGATCTTGGCTCACTGCAGCTTCTGCCTCCCGGGTTCCAGCGATTCTCCTGCCTTATCCTCCCCGGTAGCTGCGATTACAGGCACATGCCACTACACTTGAATAATTTTTGTATTTTTAGTACAGGTGGAGTTTCACCATGTTGACCAGGCTGGTCTTGAACTCCTGACCTCAAGTGATCTGCCTGTCTCAGTCTTCCAAAGTACTAGGATTACAGGTGTGAGCCACTGCGCCTGGCCAAGCAGGTTCTATTATCACCATTACTTTGTAGCTGAGGAGTTTCAGGGAGCTTGGAATTCAAATTCAGATCTGATTGCATGGTGGTTTTTTTCATTATATCCTGTTCAGGGGAGGGGGAGCAATTACACATGTGTTTATTCGTTCACTCAGCAGACATTTTTGAGCACTGACTCTTACTACTCCTGGTTAGATGGTGGGAATAGGAAGACAAGAAGCAGCCCCGTTTCTGCAGAAGCTCCAAGCTGAGGCTAAGGGACTGAGCATTATCATCAGAGCTGTGACAGCAACGTGTAGAGCCCTAAGAACTGTTGCCGTCCTGGCTTTCCTTGGGGCTTACCCCGCCTCCCGGTAGTGAACGTCAGAGTCACTGCCTCCCAGAGTGGGCTCTCAGCACTTGGGACTGTGTGTCTCAAAGCCTCCTTTCTTCTCTCTGAACAGGGACTTCAAAATGAGTGTCCCTGACTACATGCAGTGTGCTGAGGACCACCAGACGCTGCTCGTGGTGGTCCAGCCTGTGGGCATCGTCTCTGAGGAGAACTTCTTCAGGATCTATAAGAGGATTTGCTCTGTGAGTCAGATCAGCGTGCGGGACTCCCAGCGCGTCCTCTACATCCGCTACAGGCACCACTACCCACCCGAGAACAACGAGTGGGGTGACTTCCAGACCCACCGCAAAGTCGTGGGCCTCATCACCATCACAGACTGCTTCTCCGCCAAGGATTGGCCGCAGACCTTCGAGAAGTTCCACGTGCAGAAGGAGATCTATGGCTCCACGCTGTACGACTCCCGGCTCTTTGTCTTTGGGCTGCAGGGGGAGATCGCCGAGCAGGCACGCACCGATGTGGCCTTCTACCCCAACTATGAAGACTGCCAGACGGTGGAGAAGAGAATCGAGGACTTCATTGAGTCCCTGTTCATTGTGCTGGAGTCCAAGCGTCTGGACAGAGCCACAGACAAGTCTGGGGATAAGATCCCTCTTCTCTGTGTCCCGTTTGAGAAAAAGGACTTTGTAGGACTGGACACAGACAGCAGGTAAGTTTACCTAGAGACCCAGGCCCCTTGGCTTCCCTGCATCAGAAGGGGAAAGCACATGGCAGAGTTTTGTTGCATCAACAAGTAGAAAGGTATTGTCCATTGGTTTCTAAAACTAAGGACTTTGTGTCAGAATCTGTTTGAGTGCTGCTAAAAAACCAGCCAAACAAAACCCAGTGACTTTTAAAGACAGAGACGGGCTTTGGTTTGGGGGAGTCTTTTGGAGTTTTCTTGTACACTCCCCTTTTTTACTGGGGGTCCCCTTTTGGGACTCCTGGAGCTCTGTCCTATGCAGCAGCTACAGCCAGGTGCGGCTTTTGGGTACTATACACCAGGCTAGTTTGAGTTGAGATGGGCTGTGAGTAAAGGCCATGCCGGATTTTGAGACTTACTTCTGAAGAAGTAAACTTTCTTGCTAATTTTGTTTTTTTTGAGACAGAGTCTCTGTCGCTGAGGCTGGAGTGCAGTGGTGTGATCTCAGCTCACTACAATCTCTGCCTCCAGGGTTCAAGTGATTCTCATGCCTCAGCCTCCCGAGTAGCTGGGACTACACGTGTGCAGCACCACACCTGGCTAAGTTTTGTATCTTTAGTTCAGACAGGGTCTCGCCATGTTGACCAGGCTGGTCTTGAACTCCTGGCTTCAAGTGATCCACCTGTCTTGGCCTCCCAAAGTGTTGGAATTATAGGCGTGAGCCACTGTGCCTGGCCAACTTTCTTGCTGACATGTTTTATATAGACTGCATGTTGAAATGATAGTATTTTCCATATCTTAGGTTAAATAAACTATATTTTAAAAATTAGTATCGACTATTTGATTTTTACTTTTAAAAATGTGGCAACTAGAAACTGAAATTTACTTAGGTGGCTTGTGTTTTATTTCTGCTGGACAGCACTGTGCTAGAGCACAGCTGGAACACTTTTATTCAGTCTCATCCCTTTGGTTCATAGATGAGAGGGTGAATCTGGAGAGGCAAGGACCAGATCCTAGCTGAGCTAGAAGTGGAGCCCACGTCTCCTGATTCCCAGGCTGGGCACCCTGTGTGTGTGGCTACTTTTTCTTTCCTGATGGCCGCAGCGTCGAATTCCTCACTTACAGAGCAGCCAAGCATGGGCATCAGGATGCCAGAAATACCACCAGGGAGCTCTTTAACAGCTACGTTACACAAACGGAAAGGATGCCTATTCTCTCTGTGTACAGGGAGTGTTGGATAGGGCAGGAAAAGGTCAGTTTCCCATCTTGCCTGTTATTAAGTCAAAAACTTTATTTCGAATCTGAATCACTGATGAGGTCTTCTTGCCACGTACTTCCACTCTCTACTCACTGCCCTGTCCTGCCACGGTGGCTCTCCGGCAGAGCTGGATGGGATACAAGCTTAGGCAGCAACTGTTTGCCAAGAGGGCATCCTCATTTGCCAGGGAAAGTGAGGTGTCACTCACCAGCCTCCTGGCTGGGGCAGGGCTCTCCTTCCGCCTGTGTAGGCTTGGCTGATGAGCCATAGGTGCGGAGTCAATGATGTAATGTGCGTGGTGCCATAGTGCCTGCCGCAAAGTAGATGTTCAGCATGTTTCTTAAATTTGTCTAAGGTCAGATGGTATACTTCTTTCTGGTTGTTGGTCAGTCTGAGGAGAAATGATCACAGAATTGACAGACTGAGTCCAGGCCTCAGTGTTGGAAGCATAGAGTAGCCTCAGTCACACCTGCCTGTGGTGCTTTGCAGGGTCTGGAAGGAAAGAATTTTCATTTCTTCATCCAAATGTGCATATGTGGCTTAAGGAAGGGGAAAGGCGTGTTGTAGAGCTGCTCTGTGTTGAATCCTCATGCAGCCCTGCGATCCATCCAAATGGGATTGCTGTGGTGGCTGATAAGGGGCTGGAGCAGCAAGGTTTAGAGGCCTGGGCAGCCAGCGAGCAGCAGAGCTGATGTAAGCACCGGGTCTGTCTCTGAGGCCCAGGGCCTTTCCACCTCATCTCATGGCCTTCTGCTGTGCCTCCTGTGCCTTTTGAAGAACGCACACTGCTGTCCAGCCAGCAGGCACCTGCAGAGTCATCCCTGATAAGGTGGTGCTGTATGGTGTGCACCACTTGGCGGCCACCTGCAAGGTCGGCAAGGAGCAGCCTGCCCCTGCTTTACAGAGAAGGGGTGAAGGCTGAAAGCTCATAGGCAGCATGGGTCAGGAACCCTGCTCTGACCCCTTGATTTTTGCCTTCCTCCTTTGCCTCAAGGGCACCAGTGACATTTTTCAGTCATCCACTTCTCGGCTATAAGGCTGCAGAGCCACCTTTGAATGCCAGGTCTTTTTTGTCTTTGAAATCTGGGCTCACCACTCTGCAGGAATAAGAGTGTGCTGGAACACAGTGCCTCACATATAGTGGATAATGATTGACAAGTGTTGGTTGAGGGGCTTCATGTGCCAGGCATGGCTCCAGGCACTGAAAATACAGTGGCGAATAAAGTTGCTTGCTCACGCTAGTGGGACAATTGCAATTAGACATCAGTTAGCACTTGAACTTCAGTGAGATAATGACACCAATGAGCTGGAATCACGTGTGTCCTTCTCTTGTGACAGGTAACCTGTTGTTGCTTTTGTTTCTCCACGGTTCTCTAATTTTTTTTTTTTTTTTGAGATGGTATCTTACTCTGTTGCCCAGGCTGGAGTGCAGTGGTGCCATCTTGGCTCATTGCAACCTCCACCTCCCGGAATCAAGCAATTCTCCTGCCTCAGCCTCCTGAGTAGCTGGGACTACAGGTGCGCACCACCACACCTGGCTACTTTTTGTATTTTTAGTAGAAACGGGGTTTCACCATGTTGGCCAGGCTGGTCTCAAACTCCTGACCTAAAGTGATTCGCTTGCCTTGGCCTCCCAAATCCAAAGTGCTGGATTACAGGCATGTGCCACTGCGCCCGGCCAGTTGTCCAAGTTTTGAAGCAATGATTTGGTGCGGGAACAGAGCCTTGCTCTCCCCTGCAACTCTTGGTAGGAGCAAGGAAGTGTCCAACCTGAAATGAGGTCAGTAGGAAATGTCCAGATGTAAGGTTTGGTTTGACACATTGACCATACTGAGAGGCCGCCTGATAGATGGTTTGAACTTCAGGTGCTGGACTTCCCCAGACACGATGTGCAGGTGTATTTTACTTAAAAGCTCACACATGCCTCTCATGAAAACCCATGGTCAGTTCTTGTCCATGTAGTGTTGTAGCGATCAAAATTATTTCTGTTCTTATATGTTTCTAATTTTTGCTTGTTCCTCTTTCTTTTCTTTTTCTTTTTCTTTTTTCTGTCATACCGCCCTGTGAGTGTGTTGTTGGGTCTGAAAAGGTAGGCTGTGAACATTGCATTACAAATAGCCAGATTTCCCTGTGTGCTGCCTTCTCATAGCCTCCACTGCTTTACAAAACCAGTGCTGCTGCCTAAATCCACGTGTGAGCTGGATAGTCTTTTCATTTTTTTGAGTATGTTTTTTAATTTTAGCTTTATTTAGCATGTAACCCATTGGCGTTTGGTGTTTGCTAAAATACTTGCTCTGGGGGATCTTGTTCCATCTGTAGCATTTAGTGACACATGAGCCTTTATTCCTTTGTTTGTTTGTTTTGAGGAAGTGAATTGCTAATTGATTTAGGCGGCTGTGGAGGGATTTTCATGGGATCTCTTAACTGTGGATGTCCAAGGCTGCAGCACCATGCTTGATCCTGCGCTTTTGAGTGGCATGCCATTCCCAGCTGTGGCTGTGGGCCATGCATGAAGGCAAGGAGCGCTGGCGCTGGAGTGCGCTGGCCGCCAAGGGAGCTGGGGGAGGGCGAGGGTGCCCGTCTTTTCTTTTGCTTCTGCCTTGAGCATGCCATTTCCCTGTTTCCTTCACCTCAGCGACTTTCCACAATAAAGGACACGTAGGCCATTCTAAAACCCACACCAGGCCAGGTGCGGTGGCTCACACCTGTAATCCCAGCACTTTGGAAGGCCGAGGCGAGTGGATCATCTGAGGTCAGGAGTTCAAGACCAGCCTGGCCAACATGGTGAAACTCCGTCTCTACTAAAGATACAAAAACTAGCTGGGCATGGTGGCGTGTACCTCTAGTCTCACCCACTCTACAGGCTGAGGCAGGAGAATTGGTTGAATCCAGAGGCAGAAGTTGCAGTGAGCCAAGATCATGCCATTGCACTCTAGCCTGGGCGACGAGGGAAACTTTGTCTCAGAAATAAATAAATAAAATAAAACCCATACCAATCTTTTGCCCTCCTTATGAGGGCAAGGGCAGTTTGTTTAAGTATCAGGGAAATATGGCCTTCTAGTTCACTTGGATCATGTAGACACAAGGACCTGTATAAGTGACCACTGTTTCCTTTCGGCTTCTGCCAGTGAGCATTCAGAGCCAGAGAGGCAGTTCACCCATAGCTATTGTTTGGGCTCTTACCTGTCCCAGACTTTCCATTTCACCTCATGTAGGTAAGACATAGCTGTGTCTGCATTTTCATTTTGTTTTATTTTATTTTATTTTTAGATGGGAGTCCTGCTCTGTTGCCTAGGCTGGAGTGCAGTGGCATGATCTCGGCTCACTGCAACCTCTGCCTCTTGGGTTTAAGTGATTCTCTTGCCTCAGCCTCACAAGTAGCTGGGATTATAGGTGTCTGCCAAGATGCCCAGCTAATTTTTATGTTTTTAGTAGAGATGAGATTTTGCCATTTTGGCCAGGCTCGTCTCAAACTCCTGACCTCAGCCTCCCAAAGTGCTGGGATTACAGGTGTGAGCCACTGCGGCAGCCTGCATTCCTCCCTCCCTCCCCCCTCCCCTCTTTTTTTCTTTCTTTTTTGAGACAGAGTCTCATTCTGTCGCCCAGGCTGGAGTGCAGTGGTGTGATCTCGGCTTACTATAACCTCTGCCTCCTGGGATGGAGTGATTCTCCTGCCTCAGCCTCTTGAGTAGCTGGGATTACAGGCACGCACCACCATGCCTGGCTGATTTTTGTATTTTTAGTAGAGATGAAGTTTCAGCATTTTGGC